GCCATTTTCTGTCTATTCGTAACTCCTCGAAGACATCTGGACTCGTTTTTTCGGACTTTCCTGCCCGTTTCTGGTCAGCTAGATAAGTGACCCTTGGGGAATTTTGCTGTCTGTTATTTTGTTTCATACGTTCAATTTGGGCCGCTGCTAGAACTGTATACGGTAAAGCTGAAACATGAAACAAAATACATTTCTTCGGGTATCACAACCAATATAAAAAAGATTTGGACTTTCTTTTGTCATCATTTTGATTTTTGTACTGACAAGCGCCCTTTTTTTCTCTCCGCAGCGCACTTTTAATAGCAGTTACCAATTGCAAGGAACAGGTGGCACGGGCGTTTAGACCACAGTCAAATATATTCAGCCCAAAGCCAAAATTATTATATTTAGCCTAAATAGCATTGTAAAATAAGATTTTTGTATCTAAAGAAATGGTCGGATATGATGTCTTAGAAGAGTAGGCTACCTTAAGGGTTTTTGAAACTAAAATATGTCGTAATTAACCTCTCAAAATAACATTTTTATCATTTACGATCTTGCAGAACTGGAAATAACATTGTAACTTCTTCATGTTAGTTTTTCTTCCTTTTTTTGTTGGTATTTGTTTACTTTTGAATGACTTTTATAATCACTTCACTGTTTTTATATCGTACTCTTTTCCCTTTTTTAGGGTTTAATCATTAAAAAAGCTAACAGAGTTTATTTGTTAATTTAACGAAAGGTCGTTTAGATATTAACAAATTAACACAGGAAAGTAGTTCGTATACATATAAAATTATATGTAGGCCTATATTTGAAGAAGAAAAGTATTAGTTTGGTTCATTCTCTTCTTTTATTTCTTTTCCTGTCAAGAGTGTAAGTCTACGTTTGGTTTCACATAAAATTAAATGAAATTGCCCAGAGAAACTGCCCGAATTCTTAGCTGGCAATTTTCTGTCTTTGAAACACAGTTGCATTCACTACATATTAACCTTGCCAGCACTTAAGGTTAACTGAAACACTATTGAATAATCTAAACAACTCTTAAACACTCCACACTTACTTCTTTTGTCGTTGTCCTTCCATCTGAACGCTCGTTTGAGATTAAAACTTTCTCCAATATCCACCGCAAAAGACAAAACTACCAGAGCGCCAAGGATCCCCGCGGCAGTACACTTGAACAGCATTTTTAACATGCAAACGCAATTGCTGGCGGTCGTGATGAAACAGACTCCGCGCGCTGCGTGTGCAGGCCTATATGCGGACTTGGTATGACGAAACGTATTCCCTGCGAGACCTACGACACGTTCTGTGAGACGATCAGCTGATGGCTTCTTCCGTTTGTTTTTGCCGGCGAAAAGTGCCTGCTAATCGATATCTTACAAGTACCCTCTTGCGCTTTCTTGGAGGGGTTGTAAACGGAAATGGCATCGTCTTAAATATTTCCTTTAGTTTTTTAAGATAACCTGTGTTGATGTTTGGAAGCACGTTTCATTTTATTCTAAAGATAGTCATTCGACAATTGTTTTTACTCTGTATCCTTATGCCAAAACAGGCGTTTTTGCTTCTACATTTGTAAGAAATTACATATAATAAACGGAAGTTCAATAAAAGAGTTCAATTGGTAAACTTTTTAGAAGTGCACTTAAAATGAAAGGGTCAAATAAAATGGCACCCATACATTATCAGGAAGAATAGTGTTTCTACGCGGTTTCTTATCAGTATAGTCCTTGACACCGTTCTGGAGAGTAATCAGTACACGTAAATACGTGACTACAACAATTGAGCATACTTTAATAGTGTAATGGATGCCGCCTCTTCTTGCGATGCTTATTATCCACTACAACAATGCTTCATAAACTTATTATCTATCAATTACCCTCTTTTATTCAATTACGCTCTTTTATTCCAAATAGCGGGTAATTATCCAATTTACGTCAGCCAGACTTCCCCGTTTGTTCGTAAAGCATTGCTTTCATTGACTAGCAAACCGTAGATTACGCTTGTGAATGAACCTAGCATCGGATACGCCGAGGTGAACTCACTAATAAAGGAATAAACATGAATAAATCATCATTTTCAGCACAATGTGAGCTGAATTTGGGTAACGGAGTCCAACAGAGATTTAGTATATTGTCTTATTCTCCAATAGTGCCGTATTGGTTCCCACAACTGGGTTCATTGGTGCGCATTGCCTCCAACAGTGTTGTTAATGGGGATGAAATTGGCATATCATTAGTCCAAACTATATTTGATCTATCATTGATTATTACGATCATCAATTTAAATGTCCTGCATATTTTCCCAGTAATTTACACTTAATATGTCGACTAAGAATGGCCATTACTCTATTTCCCCTTCAACTGTCATCGACATCAAAGAAACCATACAACTGTCTCTAAACTGTCTTCAAATCCCAGTGGCTTGCTTGCATATCTGTTGTTTTCTTTTTTCTTTATCATCTCTCTCTCTCTCTCTCTCTCTCTCTCTCTCTCTCTCTCTTGCAATCCGTTTACCATTGCATCTTACCTCTGCAATGGGAAAACAATTTTATTAACGGAACCTACGGAACGATTCCTTCCGCTGTCCCTCTGCCGTTAAATGTCATGATGCCACGACTGGTAAAATAGAACATATCATAGGCCAGTCTAGGTCAATCTGTTTACTGTCATCCAAAACGTAACTCCTATCCTTTTTAACCCCATCAGCTGCAGAGTTCAAATCAAGATCACCCTGAATTTCTGGGGTTCCTGGAAACTCGCCTCCTGCTTTCAGAATGCCTCTGGCGTTTCTAGTAGCTGCTGATAGTAGAGGAGTGAGTTTCAAGGGACTTTGGAAACTCGTGGTGGCGGAAATATAACAAATTCCACTTTAATAATTATAATGATAGCAATATTCTATCTCTGAAAATCACACCGCACAAACGTCTCAGCGTTGTTGACAAATATCATTACATGTAAAATTATAATATTACAAAGTTTAACTTAAAACAAATGAAAAGGAATAAAAGCCAAAAGAGACATCAGCCAAAGTAATAATGTTTGGAACCAACAGAAAAGCACTGTCTTTGAGATGTATCAAGTTTCGTTTCTATCAAAAAAGCAATGCAATACTACAGAGACAGAACACTGATACCATTATTGTATGCTTTCCTGAAACCATCTTTTTTCATTAAATTCATCTAATACTTTCAAGAAATGAAGCCATTGTAATGTACTTCATATTTTGTTATTATCCTTGCATCCAAACCAGATGGATTGGCGATTCAACCATTCGTGAATGATTTTTATTACCAGTTGGGCTTCCCTAACACTACAACACTTTGAAACTCTGCGACTCAGGGTTCTTTGACAGTTGTTCAACCGGCAATTAATTTAGCGGACGCTGATTTGGTTCGTCTCCCATCAGGAGTCGGACATCCAGAGGGGTTAACTTTAGTGACACAAGGTGCAATTAGCCTGGCTTTGTTTTCTTGTCAACGCCATCAGAGACCTCTGGGGACGCCACTTAGAGAATTTGTTGATGAGACGGTTTGTATTTAGACTGCCAAACGGGAGAGGCTTTGGGAGTTTGCAACGCTGATTTCCTGTTATTTAATGGCAATGCGTAGTGAAAATAACTAAATTAATAGTCCAAAATTGCTGCAGATCACTGTAAGAAGGCAAAAAAGAGAAAGGTGTACGTGCAGGCAGGCAGCCTCAACAATGCCGTCTGCATTGTCACGGATTCCTACGGGTAATTGAGCTTCGAGATTTACATTCTGCTTAAAAACAAAAGGAACCGGAGATATTTTTAGATGGCGGTCTAGGCAACATCGGCTCTGATTAACTGACTGACGGTTTGATCTGTCATCTCTTTAAAGGCCAATGATTATACGATCTTCTTAAAAAGTTCAGCAATCTACAACAGGGAAATGAGTGTCTATGACCCGATGATAAATACTAACTACATGAATAGATAAACAATTAGAAAAACAGACAAATAAAAGACGTGAAATAGCCAGGAAACCCCCAAGATTGCCGTTCTGTAGATTTGCCTTATTTTATTGAACACTACCTTATAAAATTTGATGAAGGGTTATTCAGAAAGTAAACAGGAAAACTCAGTTTAACTGAAGTCCATTCCTGTTACACATGGGCAACGTGACAGAGTCACCCATGATAGTAAGTCCGCTTCCCATTCATTTGTATAGGTAAGTCTCGCCCTAAATTCTGACCCACTTCGGTCAGACTAACCCTTACCATTATAACTAAATGGAGGGCGTATATTCTGTCATACGGACCCCCAGACAGAACCTACGACCGACACGGCCTTGATATGCACAATTTTACAAGAATGATATTTAGTTGATGAAGTTTAATTTTAGGACCTACCAACACTTTTGGCTACGCCACAGGTTAATCGACCAAGACGTGTAATCAAAATATCTAATAATTAATCGTCCGCGCCGTTGTTGTCACGTGCTCTTTTTCAACCAATGGCGGTGATAAAAGACGAGATTCCAACAGATATTAAAACTAGATACAATAAAGGCTCTTCTTAAAGACAAAACTACTAAAATCAATGTGGATAAAATTTATTACACTGTATTTTCTTTTATTCCATGCTATAGCAATGATTTCTAATGTAACCATGATGATGATAATCTAATGAAATGAAAAATTCCCCATGTTATCCATGATAATTCAACGGTCAAGTATCTAGTAATAGGCGACATGTTTAATCTCCATGCAATATATTCATACAGTTTCAAATGTCGACGTTTTGTGGCTAATGGAATATATACTTGTGAAAACTATAAGAAAACACTCCAAACAGTGCTACGAATGTCAATTAGTACACTAGGTTTTCCTACTTAGTACAAAAAACTGAATTTCAACTACGCGCACAACCGAACCGATATGCTTATTATGCCGCTACAGCTTTCTGATTTTTTCTCCTTATTTCTTTTTTTTCCACTGAAAAGTTGATCCAAAATAATCAAATTCGCTTCACATTCATCAACAGATCCTTGTTTCTCAAAATACGAAATTCACACGAACGCGATAATATACAAGTGCCATTTCAATAATAAATTAACCCGAATGTTCAATGAATGCTGTCCAATAAGACTCGTTAAAAATATCCGATACATAATCCTCTGTTTGCTATTTTGTAATGTTTCTTTCATCTGGTCGTGTTTGGAGTTTAAAAGCCGAGTGGATTCTGCTGTTGAGCTCCCCCGTGGTTGATGACTTCGTTAGAGATGGCGGCGTAGTTTTTGAACAGTTGTCGTTGGCGCGAGGAGACGGCTAGGGCAATCTTCACTCTGTCTAAAGCCTGGAATGAAACAGCATGTTGATAGGGGTGAGAGAGACCGTGTTATCAATTTCACATTGCTCATGTGACTGTATGTGCGCTTGTGTGCATTGAGACAAAATAAGTAAAATTTTCGGTTCTTGAATAATAATAATACATAAAGCCAACCTAACCAGTTTTATTTAGACAAATTTTAACAAACAGATAAATGCCCCTATCACCCAACTACAACCAGATTTGGCGAATATCCCAGAATGAATTAAGTACAATATTTCGAACAAAACAATCTATAATAATAATAATAATAAAAAAAAAAAAAAAAAAAATAATAATAATAATAATAAAAATTCATTCAGCTAATATCTATAAAATGTGTTTAAAATTTGGTATACATCAGAGCTCTCAAAAGTTGAATATAAAATCATTTAAGTTTCAAACGGAAAACAAAATGATTACTTAATTTATACATTAAAAAAACAAAACAAAACAATAAACTCCCCTTGGTACAGACTGAATCAAGAAGAGAAACAGCTGAAGGGTAACAGCATATACTGTGTTCTTCCAATGACAAAGTGAGCTATGCATAACTGTAACGAGTGAATATTTCCTACCTCATCACAGTAAGTGGAGCACATGAGAGCCTCGTAAGCTGCTGTAGGAGAGTTCTGTTCTAATGCTCTGGAGGCTCTGGACAGTGTGACAACCATGGCATACACATCTATGGCAGCATCTGCTATACGCTTCAGCAGGAATTGTTCCGCTGAAATGACGATAGAAACAATAATAAATAGGCAAACAAAACTCACGAAATGAATATCTTAAGAATACTCTTTGTTTCTTTTTGAAACACATGTCCACCAAGTGCCAAATTTTATAAATCTTACACAAATAACCAGATGAATATGAAAGACTTTCATCTTTTTAAGAAAAAGTACCTGCTAAATTCTTCCCATGCTTCATCAGGCAATCTTCTGTGGCAAATCCAAAGGCTTCAACTGCGGCTGAGGTCTGGGCGGCGGCCTGTTTCAAGGTGGGGTGGGCAAACTCTGCCAGAGAGACCCCAGTGCTCAGACCAAGACTCCTGGAAAACAAAGAAGAACAGAATTGTGATTGTGGTTGTTCTTTTGTCACAACGAACACACTCGGGATGACTTAAGAGTGATGAATTAAGTTTGAAAAAAAAAGTAGAACAGAATTGGGGGTCACCATCACAAAAAATCTTCAGACAAAACAATTTGTTAACTTGAATTCAAGAGAAAAGTATCCGCTTACATGAAAAGATAGTGGTCTGATTCAACATTGGTTACTAGGAACAACATACAAAGTATCATATTTAACTTGCATATAGTGGTGCAATCCTGTGATACTTTGGTAGACCTTATCCAATCCGACATCAGTTATCAAATTATATAAACTGCACAAAGTAAAACAAAGAAAAATATATATGAACCATCATTTTCAAAGAACAAAATTCTATTTTTGGATGTAAACAATTTGCATACACTTCAAGTAGATGATCTACAGGGCAAAGTTTGACGACTTACTTCTTTGCCCTCTTGGAGGCGAATGCAGCCACGGCTCCAATGTTAGCAGCAGGGTTCTGTAGAGCCTTCATAAACTGACCAGCATACTGGAATATACACAGAGAGAAGATGAGATTGAGGGAATGTCAATTTTATAGCCAGCAGGAAACATTATGGCATAAGTTTCATGTTTCTTTTATGTATTCTTTTCTTTTAAAATGCGTCATAATGTCTTATAATCATCAATACAACGAAAACTACTACTACTACTACTTCTAGAAAAGCAATCTATCCATAACTCTTTGGACAGCTTTTGATGGTCAATTTGATATTATTAACCCTTTTACATTTTCAAATATATATTTTCACCACAACATACCAAAGATGTTTTAAGAATAAACACTACAGAAGATGAAATTCAATGGAAAAAAAAATACCCTCAGTCCCTGTCCTGCAATGAGTAGTCGAAGGATATCATTGGTTCCCTCAAAGATGCGGAATATTCGTATATCTCTCATGACTCTCTCCAAGCCGCATTCCTTCATGTAACCCATACCTCCTAGGATCTGAATAGCTTCGTCTGTGCACGCCCAGGCTGCTTCCTGTAATGTATGACGCAAACTTGTACCATAAACACTACCCAACATATTTATAGTAAAACTATGAATATTTCTGTGACCCTTATTACGTAATAAAATGGTTGCAACACCTCTTTTGGAGAAAAAGTTTGAGTCTTAGTAATGCATTAGAACTTTTTTAAATATGAAAATGGGTAGAATATTGAATTTCTCAGTCAACACAATGTTTAATGAAATATATCTAATCAAATTCCATCAAATAAATGAATATATGATTGAATGATGTCAATCTGTAAGTTGACATCAAATAAATGAATATATGATTCAATGATGTCAACTTACAGATGCATAAACCTTGCTGATTGCTGCTTCTATCTCAAAGTCCAGCGAACCTTGGTCCATGTTGGCTGAGATCATGTATGCCATGGACTGGAAGATGACAGGAAAGGTCAGGTCACATAAAATACAACACGTTAATATGCAACACAAAATATCTGAATAATATATGATATTTTTATATCAATAGAATTTGGGGAAAATTAGTTGTGCTGACAGGGACCCTACTTAAGGTTAATAATTAATGCGGTAATAAAACACCAAGTAGAAGGTATTTTTGCCTCTGTGACTTTTACTGCAACACAATGAACAATTTGCATAAAAGACAAGATTCTTATATAACACTTATGATAAAGTAACTTTGATTCTTCTGTCCAAACCTGGTTCAACTGAATATATACCAATTTTTGAAATCCACTCTTTTATAAGAAAAAAAAAATCCTCCCCAGTAAGGCTGAGAACAT